CCGCCGCTGAAACCAGTGGCGGGGGGCTTGGCCAGCTCAGTCAGGACATCATCGGGTCACTCACTCAGTCGCACGGGAGAAGCTACAGTCCGGCCGCCGGAAGCAGGAGAACACAGACCCCCACAGGGCGGCCCCGCGGGAGCCGAGGCCCCACCTCGGCCGCAGGCGTCCGAACCCCTGCCTTCCAGAAATCCGGCTCTGAGGACCACGCCGGAGCTCCGGTAACCCAGCAACAGATGGACAGCCATGCCCCAAAGGATGCCCCCGCCCGGGGAGGCCTGGGTTCAGGGTAAGACACAAACGCCGCTCAGCTCTTTCCTGGCCAAGTCACCCTTCCGTGAGAAAGAATTCTGAGAAGCAAGTACCACCTCGTGTTTTACTACATTGACCCCCGACCTTGACCCCTCTGTCCCTCTACCTCACAGAGAACCAAACGAGCGAGAGTGGAGGAAAGGGGGGTGGGGACAGGCTTCTCTACAGGGGCTAGACATGACGAAGGGTAGCAGGGCTGATGGGACAAGGGTGGAAGGAAGGGGTTTCCGCCAGAAGTGACGGAGCAGCGCAGTGCTGGGGTCACACCTGCAGGTCCACCTCGGAGACTCGTGGCTTCGGTCCCAGACCACCGCAGTGAAGCAAACATCCCGATAAAGCGGACCACGGGAATTTCCTGGTTTCCCGATGGGTACTGAAGTTATGGTTACACTGCGTAGTCCACTGGGTGTGCAGGAGCATTGTATCTAAAAACCGTACAGACCTTCATTTGTAAAAGTTGCTAAAAATGCTAACCATCAACTGAGCTTTCAGTTAGTTGAAATCTTTTGGCCTGTGGAGGCTGTTGCTTTTAATTTGTAAAGAAATTATATATATATTTCAAATATAACTGTGCAGTGCAATGAAACAAGGTACACACTTTCTGTGTGTGTGCACATCGGGTGGCCTTTGTGGGCTCCAGTTTTCCCCAAGAAGCAAGACAACGAGATCACCCTTGTGGTGGCGTATGGCTGGTTGGAAAGGGAGAAGGAAGGACATCCAGAGACACGGGCCCCCCAGAGCCCATGCTTTGGGAAGGAGCCTTGGAGGAGAGCTGTGGGTGAGGGGAGAACCAGTATCTCGTGCACACCAGGATATTCAGGGCGGTGTGAGGGAAGTACAGCAAGATGACCCCGACCCCTGACCCTGTGGACATCCAGCCTCACGCCGGCAGCAGCACATGCATTCACTCCCCCATCATCAGCCCACACAGTACATTATCCGGGACCTAGCCCTGCTCTTCCAGGCTCTGGGTTTTTTCTTCCTGAGTTTCCCGGGATGGTCACTTGTGTCCAATTTACAGGCAGAGGAATGCAGAGGAAGTGGAAGGGAAAGGTCAGAAACCCGCACCTCCCTAAGGGTGACTGGGAAGCCCAGGTCCTCCAGGGAAAACCCTGACTTCTGAAGCCCATCCTGACCTTGTCCCACAGACCCTGGACGTCAGGCAGACTGACTGGACAGGAGGAAGAGGGAGGAGGGCGGGGCCCTCGGGCAGCTCTCCAGCCCAGAGAGTTCGCTCATGCCCAGAGTTACCGATCTGATCTGCCCTTGGGAGCAGGTGGGGCTTGGCGCACAGCCACGCACCTGGATTTCCCTTTCCCTCTTCCCGCCCCACGTCAGAAGACTCCCCTGCACTTCTCAGTGAGACTTGGGGTATGGGAGAGGTGCCCAAGGCTACTCAAGAGGGTCTGGTGCAAGTTCAAGTTCAGTTTCTATTGTCAACTTGGGTTAAGTCCCTTCACCACCCTCTGCCCAGCTGTAAAATGAGGGCTTTTCACTTCCTTTCTGTAATCTGAAACAGGATGCAGACCATCCCCTGGAAATGAAGACCTGGGAACTAACGGTGGTGCCCCGCCCGTCTCAGAGGCCCTGTTCCACTGCCAGGCACCCCAGGGGGCCTCAGCTCCTCCCGGGGCCTTAGCCCTCAGGAGCTCAACAAGACAAAGCAAGTGCTCCCTCGCCCTGCAAGGTCCTTGTGGATGAGGTCAGCAGACAGTAGCTTCCAGAGCTCCCAGTTGGTATCATTCACATTCTGCTACGTCTGCAGGCCTGGGTACAATTCCACATGCAAAAGTGTAACAAACAGCATTTACCAGGACCCCGCCCCCCCCCACACACACACAGTAGTGGGGTAACCCCCTCCGCCTGGCTCTGTCCTGCGAGCTCCCCTGTTCCGCTGGGAGGCAAATGCCCTCCAGAGCAGGCTGCCCACCTCTGGCTGTGCCTGCTCAGAACTCTGTTTCTGGTCCTGAATACGAGAGCCTGAACTCCACGCCCCCCCCCGCCCCCACTTAACTAGTTGTGTGGCCTTGGGTGAGATACTTCATCTCTCTAAGCCACAGTTTCATCTTCAGCAACAGGGGTAACGTGGTCCCCACCTCACAGAGCTGTGGGCTGATCAGACACATCAGTTGGCATCAAGTTCTTAGAACAGTGTAGCAAGCCCTTCGTTAGTGTAAGCTATGGTGACTGAATTTGACTTAACTCGAAAACGACCACTTCTTGTGAGTCTCAGAAAATGCAGGGGCTTCCTTATGCATGCTCAGTGACAGAAGAGGAGCCACCTCGGGGTGGAGGGAAGGTGCCCCCGGTTGGACCCAAATGAGACTCTGAATTGAAGCTGGTTCTTGGTTTTGGTCACCAGAGGTGGGTGGGATGGGCGCTTTTCAGGTTGATCCTGAATCCAGGGCTTCTCCAACAAAGCCGGGCTTGTCAAAAAGCAGATTCGGCAGTGTGGGAAGACAGACAGGGTCACCCAGTGAAAGAGGGCTGCTACGGCCCGCCTACACAGTGGCCAGGCCACCTTCAAAGGACAGCGCACAGACCAGCTTCTATTGAGGAAACAAAGCTACAGCGAATCCCCCGTACGGATACTCGCAGGAGTTGCTGCTGTTCTGGAGAAGGTTATAAATCACCTGGTGGCTGTTCGCATCAGAGCCACGCGGGGCCCATTCCGCTTTTAATCTGGACCAATTTTCCGGATCAAAACCTAGCCTTTCCAAGGATGTGAATGAGCCCAGGAGGAAATGCCCCCCCCCAACCCTGAAGTGTATAGAGTAGCTGTCATTTTAATCCGAGTAGCTTTCCAACCTGAAAGCCAGTGTCTGGTTAAAATTATAAAGTAATGAAAAAATTTGTCTAGACTCCACATAGCCCAAACACCCCTTCTGCCTCCCACGTGGAGTATTTAATATGCTAATGCGTTTAACAGGTGGTGTTTCCACGATCCAAACCCCCCCCCCCATCTACGCTTCACATGAAACCAGAGAGGCCAGGGCGGCAGGCTCATTCACGGCACGGAGGTCGGAACGAGACTGTGCGTGAAACAGGCAGAAAATATGTCTAGGAGGGGAACTGCAAAAAAAGGAAGAAAGGAAACACGGCAAATTATACGAGCAGTTTTATACAGCAAGCTTTTGTAAAATGCTTTGCAAAAAAAAAAAAAAACAACAACCCTGCTTACATGGTTGGAATCGATCCTCAAGAACACTGCACACACTGTTCGTGTTGTTGAAGAACCGCAGAGAGAACTGGGCCCTGCTCGAAACTGCGACTGGGCGGCTCCGCGGGAGGAGGCCCGTGGGGCGCAAGGGGTCACGGCAGGGTCATCTTCACGAGGGAAGTGAGGCAGCAGCCCTTCACGGAAACCCTGGTAAGTGTGCGCGTGTGCGTGCGTGCGTATGAGAAACCGATGAAATACGGGGCTGCTGCTACTATCTTCAAAACGAAGTGAGCAGTGGGAATAGAAACACAGAAGAGCGCATCATTCAAGTGTGCCGCAGGTTACCATAATGCCCCGGCAGGTGGCAGGTAGCAGGGCGCAGGTGACAGCAGATGGGGCGGAAGGCGACCCAGTCACCTTTCCGAATGGGGAGGTCCCCGAGCAACACACACACACTTAATGAGCAGCCATATGGGAACCTGCCAACGGGATTCTCCTTGCCCTCTGACGAATGCCCCCTGGTCTGTCTCTTTCTTATAAAAAAAAAAACACACACACATTATTTGTGAAGACAAATGGCACTTCCTGCGAAGTTCTGCAGACCGCATTCAAAGAAGAGCCATTGTTTTCCATTGTTCCTAAGATATAATTAATCCCATAAGACAACCTTGCTCACAAAGTACACTAAGAAAGAACAGATTTTTCAGAATGCTAAATATAGTGTCAGCAAAGAGTAAAAATCGTTACTCGGGAAACAATGGTTAGAACTTCATTGCTTAGAATGTTCTACTCTGAATAATCGCACAACGAAAGACAAATCAAAGTCACGCAGGCGCGGGCAGAGTTTTTACCAGGTGTAACTAGAGGAAACGCAAGTTACTGTGTTTCAAGATCTCTCCGATCCTTTCTAATAGCCTCCAACTCCCACATTTTTGTTCGAATCTCAGAGCAAAGGCAACCAGATCGAAGGAACCCACTGGGTCCCTCTTCCCGAGGAAGCGGCCCCGAGCGAAGGCGGACGCTCCCGCGGCAGGCACGGCCCCGCCGAGCGCCAGGGGAGGGCCAGCGGTGGGCAGAGGGGGCCGCAGGCAAATCTTCAGACACTTGACAGGAAATGGCTGGGCTCTGGACAATGTGAATTCAGTAAGATGTTTGGAGACGCGGGAGGAGCTGTTTGCCTGCAGAGTTGCAGTCCTCTGTAATTGAGACAGCATGATCCCCAGCCCAGCTCTTAGCTCTCCGCGATCAAATGCGGAGAGCCGTCCACCTCTCCGGGGTCTGGGTAATAGATCATCTTTTAACAAACACCCCTGGAACCGCCTGGTCTGCGCGGTGGGGGAGGGTGGGGGTGGGGGCGCGGGGCAGGGGGCTGAGAAATCTCACCCTGGACCGAGGTGAACCCAGTTTAAAAACTGACGCCGGTGGAGGTGGTGCGGAGACCGCTTTTCCTCCTCCCCAGGGACCAGGACCAGGACCCGCGCGTTCCGGGCGTGGTGCCCCCCCACCCCGGACACGCTGAGCGCGTTACCTGGTTTTCGGAGAGCCTCTCCCAGCGACACAAAGCCGGGTCTGAGGCTGGAAGCCAGGAGGAAGAGCCGGAACAAGACGCCTTGGATTAAATCCATCTCACCGCGGGCGCCTGCAAAGTTTCACCAAGTCCCGGGCGCACGGAGAAAGGGTGTCTCCGGGGGGGACGTGCAGGACGCCGGCCCCGCGGATCCCCTGGCCGGGGTGAGGAGGCGGGGGGTGGGGGGGGCGCTGAGGGAGCTGGACCAGCACCCCCCGAGGAGTTCGAGGCGGCAGGACAGCAGCCGGGAGGTCGGCGTGCGGGAGTGAAGCGGGCCGCCTGCGGCGGGGCTTTTAGGGGGGGGCGGGGGCGGGGGCGGCGAAGGAGGCCGACGGGGAGGGACCCGCGGCCGCGGAGGGAGGGAGGGAGGCAGGGAGGCCGGACCCGCCCGGGGATGGAATTACAACCCGGTGGAAGCGAGAGGGGCAGGCCCCGAGACAATTCACTCTTCGCCCACCTCCGGGGCAGACGGCCCGCCCAGCACTCCGTCCCGCCACCCTCGGCTCAGCCCTTCCCGGCGGGTGACCTAGATTGGGGGACTGGGAGGCGCGACTTCAGCCCCCTTGGAGACGCAGAGCAGGAGTCCGGCGACCGGGAATCCAAGACCCTCGGCCGTGGTCCGCTCCCTGGCCGTACCCACTCCTGCCGCTACGCCCTAGGTGGCTGCCACCCAGCCCGGCGCTTTCCCCCGCTGCTCCAGAGGTAGCTCGGGTCGGTGCGCGCACTGGGGGGGAGGGGGAGGAGAGGGGCGGTGATTTGCGAGTGCGGGGGGGCGGGGGGGGAGAGGAAGAGGGGCGGGGCCGGCCGGGCCGGGCGCTAAGAAGATAAACGGGATTTAAGACGCGCAGATGGGAGTTGCTGCCGCACCGCTCGCCAGGAGACGCGGGGTGGAGATTAGGGCCAGGAGCGGGGGGCGCGGGGTCCCCTTGCGGCAGAAGTAGGCAATTTGAGACCCTCCGGGGGGCGGAGATGAAACTCCAGGTCGAGCTCGGCGTCCAGGAGCGGGACGCGAGCTGGAACCCCTGGAGGACAGACAGGCCCGGCTGGGGCTGGGGGCCGGCGTGGGGTCCTGGCCAGTAAAGGCACCTTCTCCGAATTTGCTGCCCGAACACTAATAAAATGGGCCTCGGCCAGGGAGACCCCGGGACAGGGAGACCCCGGGACGTAAGTCGCGGTGCAACCGGGCGTGCGTGCTGAGCCCCAAGCCAGGGAGAAGAGAAAGCAGACACGGTCAATAAACCGAGGAGGAAACGCAACCTCACCAGATCCCCCGGGGAAGACCCAAGGCCCCAGGAGGTGCCCCGCGGAGGGAGAGGTCGCCGCCGCCTGGCAGGACCGCGCTCCGGCCGGCCCCAACTCGCAGCGCGGCTGAGACTCCTTGGGAGTCCGGCCCTTCCTTGTTCACCGAGATTTGGGAGAACCAGAGGGAATAAATGCTGACTGACATATCTCCCCCCAATGAAATGCCCCCCTCCCCTGGCGAAAGGGCTCGTCCTGAGCCCGATCTCGTTTGTTAGCAAAGCCGAGGGCACGTTCCCTTCTGGTGGCATTCCCGCCCAAGGGTGCGACTGTCCATAAATTGAAAGTCCACTCCAACTTGAGGCTTTGGAAGTCTTAGTCGAGACACCAGAGCTTGTCCTCTTACGCGGACCTGGAGCAGAAAAGGCGAGACAGACTGCTTTTCACTCCCACGGAGAGAAGGAAGGAAGGCCCGTCTGGAAGCCAGACACTGTGCCTGCCCCCCGGGGGCTGCCCTGTCAAAGGCCCCAGCATCGCAGCCCCCCCCCCCCAAGGCATCCCCGGCCCTGCCTCCCACCAGCAGGAATGTGCTTTCAGCATCCTTACAAGTCACGCACCTGGGCTTGAACTCTGCCAGCCCAGACATTGTCGGAAGCCCTTTCCACGCAAAAGGATTCCTTACATCTGACCTACGGGGCCACCCACAGCCCAGCCAGCGATACCATGAAGACACCTCCCATGCTGGTTCTGCTCTTTCCCACCTGAAGAAGGATTCTCCCCGACGTGGGACCTGGAAGTGATATTCACCGTTAGTATTTACCTAACACCTGCGACGACGTACCAGACACTCTGTGAGGTGCGCAGTAATCCCGCTGACAGCCAACCCAGGCAGGTGTTGCTATCAGGGTCATGCCCATCGGACAGATGAAGAAACTGAAGCACTGGAAGGCTTAAAAAAAAAAAAAACTCACGCAAAGTCAGGCAGCTCCCACGAGGCCAGGGGGTCGGGCTCCCCAGACCAGAGCCCAAGGACACAGCTGGAGAGCAGACCGGGGCGGCGGGCTGCGAAACAGGACGTGTGGGTGCCTCGTCTCGGGCCTTGCTTGTAGTTTGTCTTGGTAAAACACAGGGGCCTGGATGAGATCATCACTGAGTCCCAGATGTTGCGTTCTTTTTATTATGTGATAAAACGCCATCATCGAATGCAAGCCATTTTTGCTCTGAACATGCTTTTTAGAAGGCCTGTACGAGTTAGTTGTCCGTGGCAAGTTTTGCAAGGCTGAGTTTCGGCCTTCTCTCGGAGAGGGGCATCGCATGCCCACACCACCGCCTCAGACTTGGCCCCGGGCCTCCCCTGCATCTTCCACAGATGGCCGTCGGTGGTGGGGATGGGGAAGCTGGCTCGGTTCCTCCGCAGGCCCCCCTTATTTCGGCCTTGCAGAATTACCTCTGATTACATTGTTACATTTCACTGGTCAGTGCCTCCGAAAGCTCTGGATCTTCAGACCACGCGTCTGGAGAGCTGCTTGTTACAGCCCAGAGCGCACGTTGGATGGACCCTTTCTCTTGCCAGTTAGACTGCATCGCGCCGAGGTTCCCTCTTCCTCCGGCTGGACACCTGGCTTCTGGCCCCTGTAAATCTGGCAGAGACAAACGCGGCCCTTGCCTTTCCCTCGCTTCCTGCCTCGGGGGAGGAGGGGGGCTGAGGAGGGCAAAGAGGCTTTGACTGTTTCATTTTAAAAAATCTGTTCCAATTCACTGGAGGTCTAAACTCAATTAATAAGGTCGCCGGCAGAAGAGTGACCTGCCCGCGTTGCTCAATATCCTGAAAGAAGACTCTGACCTTTGCCCCAAGGAATGGATTTGGAGGCCGTTAGCAGAAAGGAAAGGCGAGGTTGCCAATTGTTTAGAATGTTTAGAAAGTCCCCGAGTGAGAGTGAGAAAAAGACAGCAGCACGGAAATTAGCTTTAGATTTAATTTATTTTTGAATAGGCTCTACGTGCATATAACATCTGAAATGTGCATCAGGCAGAGCGTACCGTGAAAATTCGTTTTCCTTTCACCCCTCCCTCTCTCAGAAGCAACCGCTGTTACCAGCTCTTTGTGTATCTTTCCAGACATATTCTAGGAACAAACAAACATCTGCACAGATGTCTAAAACAAACAGAAATGCCCTGTGCACACGTTTTAACCTGAAGGTCCTTCCAAATCAGCAAATGCAGACCTGCCTCCCTCTTCCAAACGGGTGCATAATATTCCATCGTGTGATGTACCACAATCGGTTCTTTCTTCTGTTGTTTCCAGTCTGACTGTCACAGACAACACTGCAGTGCACGGCCTCCAGTGTGCGACGCTTTTCACATTACGATAGAATGTGGCCCCCTTCTAGACTAGCCGTTGCTCAGCCACAGGCTGAGTGCCTTTTCACTCGGATAATTTGGCCAGATCTCCTCCCCAGGAGACCGTCTGAATTTACACCCCCACGAGCACTATTTGGGCGTGACCATTTGCACACACTCTCTCTCATCAGCACCCTGCCCTGTCAGACTGGAACGATGTATCATGTACGTGTAGATCCCATGATTTAGCCGACAGACAGCACAGAAAGAAAAGAGCTCGGGAGCAAGTGCACCGACTGATGCATCACAGGGAAGCGGGCGGGGACGGGTACCACTGCCCCCAGACCGAGACCCGAGACGTGAGACATGACCAGCACCCCCAGTCATCCCCCTCAGGCCTCCTCCCCAGATGTATGTGTTTTTGATGAAGTGTGAAGAGCGTTCGAGCTTCCCATTCACTTTCCATTAAAATCCACAAATATACATACATAGGTCAGCAAAACATGTAAGCACTCCCCAAACCCCAACATATGCAAGCACGCCCCATCCCCAAGCATTCACTGAGATCTGATCCCACTGTGTACAGGGCTATGTCTGAGAACAGAAAGACCGATGGGAAGGAAAATGCAACGGTGTCTTCTGCACGCGAGGGGCTGCAGTGTCGTGGGAAGCAGACCGTCACATAGCTGCCCGTTCCACGGAGCGGGGAAGGAAGCACTGGGTAGCGCAGCGGTGCGAGCGAGACGCTGTGTGTCCAGAGGAAGACCCTGTATCACACACGACAGCCAGTGTAATAATATATTTAAAAATATAGCCACCAGCCTCACAAGTGTTTAAATTCTGCTCATATCCATAACAGGATTCACTGGCTGGCAGAGCTGGGGTTCCCAGGGTAAATGACCTGGTTTTCCCAAATCCGTCCTTCCTTCCGCATCCATTCCTAGCGGCATCCGTCAAAAACGACGGGGGAATCAGAGTGGGATTGGGCAACGTGTTGAGTCTCCGGCCTTTCATTGTAATGTAAACGTTTTAATAAACCAAGGTGCGTAAACCCTAAGTGTATAATTCCACAGTTGTCACAAAGGGGATAACCCCACAGGAGAAGCCCCCAGACCATAAAATGCAGGGTCCAGCAGAAGTAAGGCCTGCCTGAGTGCGGTGGGTGGGGTACATGGATGTCTCACACAAGATGGACAGCAATTCAAACGTGGCACCTAAAATGTCATAGGGTGTGCTTGAGTGTGATAGTGTTATGTTACAGAATTGCATGCTTATGATTTCGTAATAAAAGATTGTGTAATACAACAGGGGCGTTATTTGTGCCGGGCCCCTATAGAAAAATGCCAGGCCCTGAAAGTCTTTTCATTCCTCCCTCCAGTTAGAACCTACCCCACAACCAAATGAGAAAGTGCTTCCTGAATTTCCAACATCGACCTTAGTTTTGCCTGGCTTTGAAATTTATGTCAATGGAATCCAGTAGGTTAATTCGGTAACGTAATCATTTATGTCTAGCCTCTTGTACACAATGTCATATTTGAGATGTTCGTGCACGTTGTTTGGTTATTTTTCCTTGCTGTA